GACAACTCCTCATTTTTAAGTGACAATGAGTTTCTTGCAGGCTAACTACACAGCCCTGGAGACTGAATCCTCACACTCTCCACAGACCATGGCAGCATACAGGAAGAGAAGCAAGTTTCTCCAGAGCATGCCTGAAGCCCAGGAATGTCTTCTCCCAAAGGCACTGAGGAAACCTGGGTACCAAGAGGGAAAATTGTATGGTTTTTTGTGCCTGTGACACACCTGCCCAAACACACTCCAGGTTTTTTTCAGCAATAAGAACTGAAGGTGTTATTTTCTTACACTATGAGGGTGGCACACTGTGAGTTCAGCAGCACTGGGGTAAATCTGAGGCACTCGCTGGGATACAAACTACGTTGGGATCCAATCGTGTACTTTTCAGCCTGTTCTGAAAATAAACAGCCTGCTGTTTACTTTTTAACTGGTTTTGTACTGCTGGCCTTCTTTTTCCAGACTCCATCAGTTAAATGTACAATGTTAGGACATAACTCAAGGCTTTGCACTCTCTGGGCTGCTATTAATTCCTAGCAACAAAGACATTCACCACAACGTGCACAAGTAATTGTGCAGCTATTTCCTAAGCAGTACTTCCTCACCACCACTAAGGGACAGTGTTTCCTACATTTCTACTAAAAAGAATGCCATATCTGCAAGTTCAGTTTTAATTAGCAATGGGTAATGCCTCCTTTTATTTAATATGTTAGGTTTGTTTAATAAGTAAGTTGTTCATGACACAGTGAATTAAAAGCCCATTTGTTGTACTTTCACTACCTCTAGAAGGTACAATCAAAGGCATAAATAGCTTTGCAAAACACATCCCTTTTTGCATTATTATTTTCCAAATGCCTAATTTGTGTCTGTGAAAACCTCCTAAACTGTCCTCATCTGTGCTGACAATTCAAATATTGGTAAATCTGCAACCCGATTCTCTTTGATAGGTACTGATTCCTTTTCTATTTATACCAGACACACTTCAGCCATCGACTTCACTCCGAGTGAACATAAAGCCTGCCATATTCAGAGGCAGGACTTCACTAGCAGTCCCATTTCTTCAGGCATATTTTGTGTTTTGGAAAATAGTTTAACCAACTTAAAAGACTCCATTAAGTAACTTTCTCTCAATTTGTGTTTCTGAAAAATACTCTGCAAGTCCCACTCGCACCAGAAAGTAATTCCTGTGTGGAAAGGCTCTGGCTTATTACAAAAGGCCAAGTTTTACAGGACAGTATAACAGAGGTACTTGTTTTTCCTTATTTTCATGCTCACACAAATAAGGAATGTCCATGAAGTAGCTGTTTTACTGATAACAAATTACTGTATCAAGCCCAGTGCTGTATGATTTCAAGACCATATCCCAACATTCTATTTGGTGTCTCAAACATTTAAAGACATTCAGATTTGTTGGCTACAGGATTCACAGCTGTACACTCAAGCTGATAGTGTAGCTGCACAACCAAAATCCAATTCTCTTTGTTTTCTCTTCAGTGAGAGAAAGCACAAGGCACATCATATTCAATTAATAAAAAACAATTTAAAAAATCATGAGTCCCATGAACAGAAGGCTTCCCAAATTCTGTACTCTGCTGAATAGTACATCTAACTTTATCTGTGCAGATAATCCAGTGCAATTAGCCCCCACTGGTGCTAGCAGGGGACAGTGGCATAGCCAAGAAATGGATATTTTTAGCACCCACCACCTAACCCTGCCCTGTAATTAACTGCAGAGCCCCACAGATTTCTGCCTGATTAGCTGTTCAGCTAATGAGAGGCTCCAGACTCAGCCACCATGAACCCTGAATTACCTGCCATTCACGGCCCAGCCTTTGTGACTGCCCAGAGCCCAGCACAGGTGCCGGGCTGTGCTGCAGGAGGGACACAAAGAGCGAGGGGGCCCCCCGTGCAAACCCTGCCCAGCTCCCCTGACTCCAGTCACACACACTGAATGCTTTGCATGGTTACACACATGGCAGAAAAAACTGGCAGTTCCTCTATGGTCATTACCCGAGGTATAAAATGTTTGGCTTTTAATTAAGATCTACAATATCAATGTCACAAAATGAGTCTGAAATTACAAGAGGGGGAGCTGATCTGATTGTAAAAAGCTCAGCTATTCAATTGAAGGCCAAGACTTGGTCATAACCAGAGAAAAGTTGAGGTCAGGAGTCCAAGTTCAGGAGTGGAGAATATAAGAAGCTGAAGGAAACATTATATCCTCCAATAATCCTTGCAGGAGATATGATTTCAGCATGAAAGGATGCAGTCCAGCTTTCAAGTTTCCAAGCAAAAATCGTTCTACTATAACTCTGCTGTGAGATAAAAGCAGACATGTGATCTAGTAATACTGGCCTCTTTCACTGGTGTTTTTATTGGTGCTGCCCTCCATATTAAAGAAAACAAACACTCTGCTTTTAATATTAAAGATAACTCCAATAGGTCTCCTTTTGAGAACCTTTCTCTGTTAGTCCATGCCTTGTAATACAGTGATCCTTGTGTTAGTTTGGAAGGTGGCCTTTAAAAGGAAAAGCAAGCACAGCATTGTCTTTTTTTAAAAATTCTACCCAGTTTTGGAGGCTTTTGTTTGGGTGTTTTGTTTTTGGGTTTTTTTTCCCCAGTATCGGTTTCTTCTCCTTTCTCTTTTAAAGGGTCATGGTGGAAGAATAAATAAGGCTGTCATTTCACACGTGGTTCTCCTATTTCTTAACTGAAAATTGTATTTGCTGACACAGAAGTTGGGAGTATTTTCATTTCTCTTTTTTGTTTGCCAGCTGCTTATAGCAATGGACATCACCATTTACATCACTGATGAGTACTTATATGAGCTGGAGCACAAGATAGGATGCTGTTGACCTGATCATTTCTGCAACCAAAATAGGTCACACATAACTCTGCAACATTAGTAACATCCAGATTCCTGTTTCCCACAATGGAGTCCTCATTCCTGCCTGAGGACAGCACTTAACACTATGTATTTACCCATCATGACAACAATCTGGGGAGAAGGCTACAAATGAAAAACGAAAACACTGAGGAAACCCTCTCCTCTTTGGTTAGAGTGCCACAGCTACCCAAACCATATCCTCCTAAAGGAGGGAGACATTGGCCTTGGTAATTAGCCAGACATCAAAACCTTCCCAGGGAACTCCTCCTCCTGAGAGGCACATGCAGATCAGGACAGGCTGTCTAAACACAGAGAGCCTCCTCTCTCTTGCTGGGTTATTTTCCTTCTCTGTAGGGGAGCTCCAGCCAGGGGAAACTCCAGCTTTAACAGAAGGTGCCTTGGTTTCCTCCCTGTTTTTACAGCAAGAACAAGCTACAAAGGCACCCTTTCGATAATGTCTCATTTTTCAAAGTCAAGTTCTCTTCAGCACTGAAACATTTGAAACTTCAGTTCTGCTCTCACTGCAGCTTTATCCAGCTACTGTATTTGTAACACAGCGGGAACATTGGTACCCTGATCTGAAGTGTACTGATGTCAAACAGCAGAAGACACCTCATGACTCGGGATGCTCTGCTCATTCCAAGGAAATGTCTGGAGCCTCACTCGCACATGAAATACTGTTTATGTTCAACAAGTCGGAGATGCAACATCAGGAGGGATTAGAGACCCAGTCTGGGCTTTCCACCTCTAGGACAGACAGGGACCCAAAGGAATAAAGGTCTCATCTCCTGGGGCCTGGGCTCCGAACAGCTGAACTCCTGCTCACTGCACTTCAGATGCCAGGCCCGAGGGTACTTATAGGGAAATTGTATCGGCATTAAAAACATCAAAATTGGATTATACTTGGACACATGCTGGCAAGTATTTGCAATGGATTCAGAATAGCTGGAGATTGGCCACATCCACATAATATTCCTAAAGTTGGATAAAATTTAACAGCAGTAAATTAGAAAACTTTGCCAACTCCAAAGCACTACCTCAAACTTGGGCCAAAACGATACACTGGCACTCAAATGCTCTAGAAAGACTTTTCCCTTCTTCCAAAAACTGTTGATCAGATAAGAAGAGCTGGGCTGTGGACCACAGGGATAGGGATGCTGTTTCTGGAGAAGGATGGGCTTTGGAAAAGGGTCTTTTTGGCAAAAACTAAGGAAGCTGCAAACAAAAACCTAAAATATTTGCAGAGCTCTGTGTGGAGGTCAGAGGAGCGGGGCTGCTGGGGCACCTGTAAGTCCCAGTGAAGAGCCTTCGGGACCAGGGATGCTCTCCTAAGCCACCACTCTGAGTTTCTCAATGATGAGGCAAATGGAAATCTGAATTGTTATGGTACATGGAAACATTCCTTCCAGAGAGATATTTGGAGCACAAGGAGAAGTGGAGGGGAGTGTAGAGGACAGAAAGAACAAAGAAGTATTCAAAGGGTGAGACAAGCTGTTGGTACCTCTGCCTTTTGCCACATCTCAGTCCCAGTGCCCGCTGAGCCAAACTGTGAACTCCGTATTTACATCACAGACCTGTGAGCTGCTCACGCCCGGCACTGCTCCCCCCAGGCACTTCCACACTGCCCTGCCCGGCCCCTGGAGCCCCTCAAACCAACGAGACTGTTTGCAACCACCCCGGAGAAGCAGCACAGCCTCGGAGATCCCTTCCCTCTTCCTCAGGATTATTCGGTGCGATATTTAAAAGATTCTGCCCATCTCTTAGAAGTGAAGTGGGGGGAGGATCTGTCTGATTGTATCTGTGACCCTGGCAACTCTTCACAAGCAGAGACAGCTGAGTCACTAATATTTAGAAAAATAACATAATTGACTGTATTCAGGCCTGGGGAGGACCCCTGCTGGGTATTCACAGTTAAACATTAGCAACTCGGTCATTCCTGGCAGCCTTTGTGAAGGGTTGCCAGGGCTGTAGATTCAATTAGATGACCTCCGACAAACTGATTTCCACTGCAAATATCTTTAAAAAAATATATTAAATCCCCAATAAATACAGTGAAATTGGAGGAGACAGCCCTTCCTACCTCATTGAATGTCCCAAATCACCCCAGAGCCCCAGCTAGATGCCTGCCTGGATGTTCTGCATGCCCGGGCTCCATTATCACTGCTGCCTAATGTGATTTAGCCCTGTCTGTGGACTGCACTCTTTAAATCTGAGAATGTGACAGTGTCGCGGTTGGATGCAGATTAGGATACAAAATGATATTGAAAAGGTAAAAACATTTGCATGTATCTTTCTTTTCCTTGTCACTGGGCAGGGGTGACAATTCTTTGACCACTGCTTTTTTATCTTCAGACAGCTTTTTTTCCATTACTAACCACTGAATCATTTTGATGTAAGAGGAACTAAGATGAATCAGTATATCCAGTGTTTCTTACTATCCACTACAATACACTGTGCATTACACTGAGCTGAAATATTTGCTTTATTCTCAGTAATCTATACTAAAGGTGATTCATGGACCGCTAAATCATCTGGGAATGAAATTTTTAAATTCTGGCTTATGCATAGAGTTTTGTGATAAGCCCTACAATAAAACAACCTATGTGGACACTATTTGTTAACACTATCCTAATAAAATCAGCTAACACCTAAATTGCACTTTGTAATCGCTTCTCATAATGTCTGTCTCCTCAGACTACAGGATTGCATTTCATTTAACATACTCTGCCCTGGTAAATTGGTTCTCAGCTCAACTTTTTTGTTTGCTGCTTTTCTATCCCAAATAATTCTGAACAGCTACCAAATCCTCATCTTTCTTGTACACATAAATGTTTGAGGAAATATAAAGAAGCAGAGCAGTGCTGGATTCTCACTATGCCCCTCCAGAGAGAAGCTTAACAAAACAATGTTTTAAAATAATATATCCCATTGTTGGAGTTACAATGAGATATTAATTCAGCAGCACAAAAATTGTAACAGGGTAAGAGCTATTATGAAATGATTATCCAGAGAGCCACCAACTAGCATTTTCCCACATGGCATTGTAACTATTCTTTGTACATGGTGCAAAAGAATGTACTAAGGGTATTTACAGAGAAGAAACTTTTCTTTACATATAGTGTAAATTGGTATATGGAACAGAGACACTGCATGGAGTTAAGTCTAATTTTTTTCCCTCAATGTTCCCTGCTGAGCAGTGCCACAATTAATCAAGCTTTCTAGGTTTTAGTTAATTGCTGGACCCCAATAAATTGGTTTGTACTGGCACTGGTCCAGGTCTGATAATTTCACAGCCTTGCAAACTGCTGCATGTTCACACAAGAACCTTGAAAGCAGGGAGCTGGGATAAAAAAAGAATAAAAGAAACTCTTGTTCTGTGACGTTCCATTAATAGTTAAAAAGCCAGCCCACAAGCAACAGTGTCTTCACTGTTTGTTTTACTCCATGTGTTTTATACTGATGCTTTTAATGATGAAATGAAACCCCCCCTTTCCTCATTTTAAACTTTTTTCTGTGGATAGTTATTCACAAAGAGCCATTTCTAATTGCACCAGTGTCCTCTTAGACATTTCCACTGTTCCCATCCTCTGCTGAAAATTCATTGTGACTTTTTGACACAACTTGGCCATTTTCTCCCTTTCTCCCTACAGTTTTCTTTATGTGATCACCATCTTCTGGTGAAGAAAAATTCAAGACTGGCTTTATGAACTAAACAAGAGAGATGAGCGGTCCCCCAGTCTGGCCTAACTCAGTGCTGGTGAGTGCCCCCTCAGTCAGACTCTGTGAGGACAGCGGGGCTTCTCCTAAGCCTGCAGTCAGAACCAAGCAGGCTGGAGCCACAATTCAGTGCAAGTCAAGGCATTTGGGTCTGTTATGAGTAAGTGCACAATATTGTTACCGGTGGCAAAGACAGCTCCACAGCTATCAGTCCATTTTACAACTGAGCTCAGTTACACAGAGGACTTTGCGTCCTCGGCCGTCGCTGGTAGCAATGGGATTTGCGAGTGCTCAGCCCCTGGCAGGCTCTGGCTCCATGCTGGCACATATTTGACTTTGTTCTCCCTAGAGAAGGCTCATTTGGCAAGTTCAGTTTTACTAATGGGTTTCAAAAGCACTCTCACACCAGCAAGTTTCTAAGCAAAAGAATTACATAATACCCGAGGTGTTCGGTAACCTCGTTGTTATTGTCTCTGGCTTACCAAGGCCAGATTAGCAGCACTAATCAGGGTTTATAAAAGTATATTTGAATTGCAATTGGAGCCTCACTCAGCCTGCCTTGACTCCTTCTGTCATGCCTTGGGAGACAGGACTGGCTGGGTTTATCTGGTGGATCTCAGCTGCAAAGAAATGCCTCAGCAAGTGGATCTTTATCGTGGTATGATCAGTCTGTAAGATTTGTTCCTGCTTTTCTCATGCATAGTTAAACCTTCAGTAAGTGCAAAACTCCAGCAAATTTCTACCAGGTGTGATTCTAGTCAACAAGTGCAATGGCAAGAAAGAATGTCTGTTGTTTTTATGTGGACTATACCATCTGCTGCTGCTTTCAAGAATGTGGGGTAGTGAAAAAACAATGAAGGTGAAGCTGCTCCCAGAAATCAGAAATAATCACTTATACAGATTCTTTGATGCTGCTTTTCACCTGCTGAAAATAGTCACTGAGATGTTGTCACATGCTATCTGGATTTACACTTTGGAGGAAGCACTAATTGTAAGTAGTGCAGGCTTCCTGCCCACAAAACACTGTTCAGACAGGAATCATAGATGAGAGTTTGGACTGAAGATTTGGACTTCCTGTCTCGAGAAAAAAAAAAATGGCCCTTTCAGTTTTTTGAATCAACTAGGAATTTAGAGCTTTATTCTCAACTATTTTACTGATGTTGTGCCTACAACACTCATTCCATTCAATACAAGATTAAATAACACAAAAGAAATTCATTACTACTATGACTAGAAAAAGACAAAAGCCAAATCTGGCACAGCTACAAAATCTTTTTTTAATAGGTAAATTAGATTAACAAAGAGGATAGGTTAGAAATCAGTGGTTTCTGTCAAAGATTACAATGCACCTCTGACAGTAAGATGTACCTGTTCAAGAATTTCTGAATTGGACATTCAGCTCTCTGAGTAAGAAGGTACAAGAGAAGGGATGACAGAGAGGAAAACTTTCTGTGAATGTAACACAAATCAGCCCTTTCACAATTTCAGTGTAGTTTGTGCAGATTCCTTGGGCTCTTTTGAAAGTTTGAGAAGCATTTGCTTCTACATATTTTGGTGATGACACTTCACTGCTGTTTCACTCTCAGTAAAGCACTGAGTACGAGTGTTTTGATACACAATAGGGAAGCTCATGCAGCTCACGAGTATACCAAAAAAATCTATATTCCTACAAATTGCCTTGCAGTCTTTCACATTACAGATATGAAAGAGAATTATAGGATCATAATTACAGCTGCACTCTGTGGTGGTAATAGGTATCTTATTAATATCTGAATTGTTTAGATTAGATTAGATTTGATTAGATTAGATTAGATTAGAAACAGATGAAAATGAGGACTTTGAAATCAATGCAAAATTCAGGAGGGCCTCACTTCTGAGTGCAGGTACCTATTCTATACCCACACACTGGGATTCTTGACATCCCACCCAGAAAAGCATCATTTGCTCTATGATGGAATGGAAAATGGTGTGGTTCCCTTCTCCTGCATTTTCATGTTTGCTGCTGGCACCTCTTGTGACCTCTTCTCACCTGCGTATTTGGAAGTGGAATTTAGAGATGTGCCTTTCATTTGCATTTTTCCACAGAAAAATGAAAGATTTTCAGCTAATCTTCAGTCCCAGCTGAACACATCCACATCAAAGTAATGAGGAATTGGGCTGCAATTTGACATTTTATGTAATGCTGTTGTTGTTTAGCAAACTGAATTGAAGTCTCTGGTTCACTACATCCATCTGTCTCACTGCTAAGTAAGTTAATTAATTTCTAGTGCTAGAGTCCACTGTGGATGAAGTCAGTGCTAAGAATGAACAGGAGGGTGGAGAATGCTCATGACCATCTTATGCCATAATCACAAAATTATGCACATCTGAAGCCCTCTTTGTTGAACAGTATATGTGAAGACTGCTTGGTGAACATCCAGACTGTATTCCCAGTATGATAGTTGGGGGGGGGTTGATCCAAACCACAAAAACTAATTTAGACATTTTTATAGAATCCTGGGAATAATTTTTAGCATCTTAAGATTCATTTTCCAAAGAGCTTCACTGAATTTATAGGACTGCAAAAAACCAAAGGAATTCATTACATTAAGAACTTCCTTTCATACTTTTCTAGGGTGAAAATTTGACCATACATAAACAGAAGGAAAAAAAAAAAGACAGGGAGGTAAATGGGAGTTGTGTCATGTGTCTCACATCTCTCAGAGCTCCATGTCTGTTCCAAATAAGAAAACTCTACATGGTGTGTAAACATGTTAGCATTGGCATGAATCTTTTATCCTGTTCTTTTCCCCCTCACTCTAACTGAGAAATAATAGCAGGATACCTTCATGCTGCTCAGTTGTTGTGAGGCACAGCACAGGGACCTGGACTTCCACTGTCAATGTCACATTATTAGGTGCTTAACTTCCATTATCTGTAATGAGAATTACATGGCTGAATCTCTGTGCTTTTAAAAATTTAGGGCATCCTTGAATCTCTAATGCTCACCAGCAGCAGCAATTCTTTCCTGTCTGGACAACTATGATGCAGAGCATATTCAAGCAGTGAGTTGTGGGCAGCATGAAGGGTAACAATTACATATCAGGTGCCTTCCAGAGCTCTCTGTGTCACATGTGTGCAGCAGCCCTGAACTTCACATGCTGCAGTAACAGCCCAGTGCTGAGATGTAAGTCCCATCAGTGCTGTGGCCTGAGGGGAACAAGACAGACCCCCTAAGATGGGGCTGTATTAGCTGTGAGACAAGACAAAGCATAACAGGCTGTGGTGAGACACAAAGAGTACTGGTTTGTACTTGTACTTACTCCTGGGTGAGGCTTGGGTAGAGCTGGGAAATGAGGAACAGCTTGGGCACGGGTGCAGCATGAGCAGGATCCACAGGAACTGGCAAACCCTGCCAGCTCAGCCAGGGTCACTCACTGAGAGCCACCTGTGAACGTTCCATTCAGGGACAATGTCCAGCATGTGCCACATTAGGCTTTGGCCTAACAAGCGTAACCCTCGCTGTGACACCAAGCCATGGGAAGATGAATGACAGGACACAGAGGCAGCCTTTGTACGTGACCAAGAAAGAGGCAGACCCTGACAGTGTTAAACTGCATCATCACTCAAAAGCCCTCAGGGACGTCCCAGCAACTGATGAGCAGCACAGCTTGAGCAGCAGGATCAGGAATAGGAGTCAGGCTGGGGCAGCCTGCCTTTGGAAGTCTGGGTTTCCCCCAAATCGCCCATTCATTGAGTCCCAAGCCCTCACTTGAGAGAAAGGCTCTTTCAGCCAATTCTCTACAGCCTAAATCTGACAAAGAGTGGGAAAAGGAATCTGTTTTGTACATCTCCACGTTCAGCAAAGGTCTTACACCTGAATTAGTATCTCCAGAGACCATTAGACACCATCATCTTCTGAAACAGTCTTACAGAATGCAGTGGGAAGTGCTGGCATCTGTAGCAACTTTTCCAAAGCACTCTTCAGGCCAAATAAGGAATTTCTTTTCAAAGAATCTCTCTGCAAAAGAATTCAGGTCACACAGTCTATAGAAAATATTTCATTTCTCATTACTACTACACTGACTATGCATAAAGAGCACTGTAACACTTACTGCTGTCTTTACACACACTGGGCTTTGTCTCAGCACAGAGAAGGAAATACATGCGATATTGGCTGTCTGGAGGAAGCTTGACAGAGGTGGGTAGCTGTGTTGGGTGAGTTGTTCTGGAGTTGTCATCTACACAGTAAAACTGAGCTCTGCCCAGGCCCAAAGCTGCATCTACCAAAGTCGTGTCGATGCTATAAACCCAGACTATCAAGACTGTCTACAAAGACCTGTGGGATTCCTACTGACAAAGATTTGCAACAGCTCCATTTCAGTCATAGATCTGAGTGTCTGTTATTCAGGCACAATTTATCTCACAGGCTGGGCCTGGACAACACCTAAAGGAACCCACCTAAAGCCTAACCCAGCACAACACCTAAAGGAACATAACTACAGCCCCACGATTTAGAATAATGTGTGCATACACTTAATCCTTCCCTCCATGAACATGAATATACCTCTGTGGGACCAGAGCGTGCACAGCACAGGTTCTCTGCTTTCATGTGCAAATTACAGTCATATTTCTGATTACTTCCTCCGTTTGCCCATCCCTCTTTCATACAGTGGCTCTTCCAAAACTATCAGCCTGAAACTGTAGCCATCACATTCAGGAATAAGCACTTTCAGTGAGGATTTTTCCTTAGGAACATGGATTGCTGCCAGTGCACAGCACGGCAAAGAGTAGCAGAGTGACACAGAAGTAGGCATGGAGCAGTGTTTTCAAAATGCTTAGCTCCAGGGCTTTCTCTTTTCCTTATTTAATATTAAAAGTTATGAAGTTGCATTTGACTAACACACAGCCCTGGTTACTCATGAAGTCACACTACAAAACCCTTAGTAAGTCATCTATCCCTTTCTCATGCAGTATAAGATTTCACTACACACTGTACCTTCAGTATTTTGTCTAGCTAAGATACAATGGAAGAAATGAAAGTTCTGCTCAATTTTCAGCCTTCAGAAAATGTCTCCCAAGCATGAGAGGTGTATGACCTCCCATCAGTGCTCCCCAAACACCCTGGTCCCAAACTACGGGAAATAGGTTGTAATTTGTTTCTCCACATGATGTCTTTTCATACCTCACCCTTTTTCTCAGATCATTTGTCAAGAGTTCACTGATCTCTTCTTATTAGTTACAGGGGCTACAAGAAGACAGAAAAAGAATGTTTGACCAAGCATATAATGAGTCATGGGTTTAATTTAGTTCCACTAGAATCTCAATGTGACCTTGAAACCTTCTAACACAATAAATCAGAGCAGAGGATATCAGCAGAAGGTGTCAGTGGATGCTAACTCCGGTCGGCTCTGCTCCGCAGGGCACCCTGCCTGGGACAAGCCCATTAAAGAGCCGTCTCGGCGTGGAGTCCTCTCTCCAAGAAAGCCGCCCGTGGGGCTCTGTCACCCAGCCCGCAGCCCGTTCGAAGGACCGGAGCGCGGCCCCTCCGCCCGGGCGCGGGTGCCGCTGCCCGCAGGTGGTTCCCGCAGGAGGAAGGGGAGCGCGGAAGGCGGGCGGGCTCCGAGGCTCCTGTGCGGGGTCGCCCCTCTCGGCGCCCCCCGGGGCGGAGCGGCCCCTCCCCGGCCGTGTCAGTCAGGCCGCGGTGCCGGCGCGGGGCGCGGGGCGCGGGCGCGGCGGGGCCGGGGCGGGAGGCGGCCCCGCTCACCCCGCCTCCCGCCGCCGCTCCAGCGCTCCAGGGCATCCTCCGGCCGCGGGGTCTCGCTGCGCTCCCCGCCGGGGCAGGAGGCGGTGGCAGGTGCCCCAGCCCGGGACCTTCCGGAGCGCCCGCCCCGCAGCGCTCCCGCCGCTCGGGAGTAGCGGATCCCTCCCTCCCCGCTCCCATCCATCAGTCGGGAGTCGAGGGCTGGCGGCGGCAGGACCCCGTCGTTCCCCTGCTCGCCCCCTCGCCACCGAAGCGAAGGAGAGACCTAAAAGCCGCTGGAGAAGACGATGGCAACGTGAGCGGGCAGCGGATCCGCCTGGCCGGAGCCCCGCCGTCCCGCGGCGGAGCGGAGCGCGGAGCGGCGCGGTGTCCCAGCGCTGTTGGCGGCGGTCCCCGAGTGGAGCGGAGCGGCCTCCATCCCTGCCCCAGGTTTGTGAGCTCTGCCGTCCGAGGCGCGGCGCCGGGGAAGGCGCGGTCCCGCTGCCGGAGCTGCGGCACAGGCAGCCCAGCGGGGGCACCCGACGCCCCCCGGGCTGCCCGTCCGGCCCGTGTCACCCCCCGGGGGCACCGCGGGCACCTGGCCGGGCCCGGGGCAGGGGGGCACCCCCGGCCCGAGCTCCCCTCCCGGCCCCGGGCGGGGCTGCGGGCGCTCCCGGGCAGGCGCCCAAGGGGCGGCTGTTGTGTCCGAGCAGCGGGAGCCGGGAGGCTCCGGCCACGGCTCAGGGCGAGACCCGCCCGCTCACAGCCTGCCCTGACGGGGATAAAGCCTCGGGGAGAGCGGAGGGAGCTGGTTCCGCTGCGATGATGCAGGGGCAGCGCGGCCGTCGGGGCAGGACCGCTGTCCCCGCCGCTCCATCGCCGCAGCCCCGCGCCTCGCAGCCTCTGCCAGCTACCCTCGGCACTGCCTTTTCTCGCTATTTTCGTTGGGTTTTTTTCATTAATCATAAAACGTGGCGAGGTTGGACACTGCCTCTTGTAGTTACCAAACTGGAATCTTTGGAGGGCGAGGCGTTAAAAAGAGCCCCATCCGCGTTATTTCACTAAGTAATTTTTGGAAGAAGGGGATCACTTTCATTGTTTCTGCTATGCAGAAAACACACCAATAATTAACAGGTTAATCCTAACTGAGATTATTTAAATACAGGAATATTTTTAGGACATTGCCCTTTGGGGAAATAAAGGGAGTGTGCTAATAGTGAAAAGTATGTGTTTATATTTGGAGTAACAACAATACAGAAATTAAAGAGAATTAAGAAAGACATCAAAAGTCTCCATCCCCTTTCTGTTATTAACTCCTCCATCTCACATTACTGTGCAGCATTTCTGAGTATAAGCCGTCCAAGTTTTAAAATATTCTTCCTCTTGAAGACCTGACATTTAAAATGGATGGATTTCTGAGCCTTTCTGTTCCATCTAACCAACCTAGCTAACAGGTAAAGTGCTGCACAAAGGAGAATTGTGTGCCATTGATAATTATTGTTTAGTTAAGCAACCCCCAAGAAGGCCAAAATATTTAAGCATTCACATTTCTTCTAGTCTCAGTGATGTGCTACTGTTGTTCTAAAGGCATGCATGATGTCCTGGGACTAAATTATGAGGGTTTAATTTTAAACAGGTTTTTAAAAGGATGTTTGGCTTTGGAATGTCCTATGTGATTTGAATATGTTGAAAGGAAAAAATTACTTAAACCTTTCTTCTGAAATTGAAATATTATTCTCAACTCCCAAAGTTGAAATGGAAAGTTATGTTTTGTTACTGCAGGGGGATCGTGCTTTTAAAAAAGTGCTTTTGGTTTGTTTTGTTTCTTAATATCTTTTCAGATGCAATTTGCATTATTTTGAATGAGGTTTCTGAGTACAGACAGAGTAGTTGTACAGGCTTGATTAGTTAAGGAAGATGTCCATTTTGGTTGTGTTTTGGGAATACAGACAAAAGCAATAAAACCACTGATAAAATCAGATCACTTTGTTACAGTACTATCCTAGTACTCAACAGTTATAGTTAGAAGATTTTAATTTTACGGGCTCATTAACTTACTGTTTAGTGAGTTTCTCTAAGTTATCCACCACTCAATTTTGACTATACATATATAAATTATTATTTCTGCCTTGATTACCTGTGACCTGAAACATATTCCTGTGCAGTTCTATTATTTACATGAAATCTGAAGAGGTCAAATCAGTTTACAAAACACATTGTTTATCTTTCCAGTAGTGACTCTTTTTGGTTTTTTGAAACTTTTGTAAAACTAATAGTGAATCCATATCAAGGCTCTTAATATCAACCCCAAATCATTCCAACATTGTAAGTTATGGACAAGTGCACTCTGGGAAGAAAACACTTCTGTAATGAATTCTGACAAACAGCAAAGCACCAAAATAGTTCTCAGTTAATAGTTCTCAGTTCAGAATCTTAGGTTGGCTATCAAAACCAAAGAAGTTCTACTTTAATTATTTTCTTATTCACCTTTAAAAAATGAGAAAAAAAGATAAACAGAATGGCACATGCAGCGAGAACAATACCACATCTGCACCCCACAGAGAAGAATACATTAAGCTTTGCTCCATAGGCAAGATTTTGACATTAAAGATCTGCAGGAATGAAGATGGCTTGTCATTCCCCCATTCTACTCTCAGCTATCAAGGCAAGGGAAGGGTTAACTCTAGAAAAATTAATTATACACAGTCACAGAACAATAGTGGTTGGGAGAGGGGCGAAGGGGCGAGTTGAATAGTGGTGGAAGCCTATTAGATGCGGTGAGGAAAACTCCCAGTGACTGCAGCGTGGCCAGGGGCTCACCCTGAGCAGGGATTCCCATAGTGCAAGGCCAGGACTCCAGGGACACCCAAAGTTAATTTTACCACGAGCAAACATGTCAAAACTGACACCTGTGTGTCCTGAGATACACCCAAAAGAGATGCCCTACAAGAACATGTGGCCCCTTCTCCAAAAAGGAAATGATCTGAAGGCAAAGCTGTTTCCATGAGAGGAAGATCCACGATACAGACAGACTTTTTTGTTCGGACAATTTAAGATTTCTGTGTGCTGGATGAAATCACTGAGTATCTTACAAGATTTTATTTTAATTACTTTAATCTTTTCTTCTCAACAGCTCTACATTCTCTACCTGGAGGCTCTTTCTTTTGCTTTTGCTGATAAAGATGAGAAAAAAGTGGATATTGGAGGATTTTCATTTTATCTTTTTTGGCGTTCTCTGTCTCCTTTTCATAGATGGAGGTAAACTAGAACAAGTAAAACGTAAGTAGACTTCAAACAAAGCTGTCACTTTCACCTAAACTGGACATTTTCCTTCTATTTTCAGATGTCATTCAGAAAAGAATGTCCTGTACCTTCTAACATTCTTCCTCCTCCTAATGCTGCATTCAGTAGAATCAGGTCACACCCACATTTGGGGCACAGTTTCCTAAAGCTGCACAGGTTACAGTGCATCACAAAGAACATAAAACATCAACTGGAGAATCTGTTTTATTTCAGATATCCTGAGTCAAGAGTGTGCTTAATTCCATTTTAGTAACCTCTGTAAACATCTGACAGATTATCTGGAATCTGTCCCATGTGTAAGACTATTATGCTGAAGTTTTCAACCAGTGCAAAGCTCGTCCAAGACTGTTCTGTTGTGTTGTAAAAACAACCTCATATGAACTGGATTAGGTACATCCTTTGAGAAATTAAGAGTCTAAGCACTGTCAAAAACCTGATGAGAAGAACTGAAAAGAATACAAACAAAACAGAGGGAGTATTTCTACAAAGCCTGTTATCCTTGGGAGATGTTAACACATTACAGAAACCATGGCAAGGAGGAATAACTACCCAAATAAGTGCAGGAGTTATTGACTGCTCCTGTTAATAGCTTTCTGGATGAAAGAATGAGTTGCAGAAAGGCCCCCTGCCCTGCTGAACTCACTCACAGGAAAACCAGGGGCAGGTATCCCGGTTCAAAAAAACTGTGTCAGAAATTATCAACCTCCACTTCAGTTGTCTGCTTTCTCATATCCTGCATTTCATCTGTCATGCTTCTGTATGAAGAGAAAGCAGATCACAGTTTCTAACAGTCCCCAGCTCTTAGTACTTTCTTCTAGCCCAGTAAATGTGAAGAATGTCCCTTGCTTGGATGATCACATGCAAGACATGTATTTTGTTAGATACCCTGAAGTATCATCTATACTGATAGTAACAAAATAACCTGACTTTGGATATCCTTAAGACAACAGGAAGCAATTCTCACATGGAAACACATGAGAAATACCCTTTTATCAAAGAGAGTTGAGTTTTCAATGTGAAACCATAATGTGACAGGGAGAGACAGGACAGTAATGTCTGACAGATATATGGGTATCACAAATTGTTCTGAAATACTAGGACAAACTTCTTCTTTAGATTGTTAAAATATGGAGTTACTGAACATGCAGTGTAAGCACAGTGCATTTATCTTCCCTTTACAGGCCCCTTGTTCAAGATGTCTCTGTAGTACAAACTGGGATATCCCAGAGTTGGGCCCATTGCTCTGGGTTTGCCCTGAAAAGGTTTTGTTTCCTCTAAGTCTGTCTGAGTGAGGAGCCACTTTAATTTTCTTACCTAAACAGGATCTTAGCCTTTGTTTTTGCAGGTGGAAGGATAAACTCACCTGTATGACAGCCATTTTATCAGCTCTTTTAGGAGCTGAAATTTTGGAAAGATGGGAGGCCACATCATTTATTTTGGTTTGAGAGGTTAGAAAAAACAACATGTGAAACTAAGGATGTTTCCATTGTGTGATTCTCCAGGGAAAGAAAGAAAGAACAGTTTACAGAAAACTCTGCACACCCAAATATTCACTTTGTATGAACAGAACATTCATTCATAGCTCTTCCAATTCTTTACTGTTTTACAGATTCAGATACATACTGTGTGTTTCAAGATAAGAAGTATCGTGTAGGAGAAAGATGGCATCCTTATCTGGAACCCTATGGCCTTGTTTACTGCGTTAATTGTCTTTGCTCAGAGGTAGGACTGCTGACTGATTGATCTCACAACTTCTTCTACTTACTTCATTGACTAGAATCTTTTTTGTTGCAGCTACAATTTGACAAAGCCCAAACCTGTTTTCACTAGTGGGTCCTGATCATGCTACAGGAAATAGAGGCAGGTGATCCTAACAAAGGGAAAAAATCAATAGAGAAGGCCAATAATGGCAAAAAATACTTGCATGGCATAGACAAAACAGCTCCTTAACTAGTCAGAAGCCTTGTCAATGCTGAGCATTGCATCTTGACTAATCAGGCCCCACCACCTAAATATTATCCTTGCTGTTCCATCAATATGGATGATTATATTTAACCTGAATTTGGTGGTGCTTTGATCTGTCTACAGTGCCAAAGAGGCATTTCCACAGTCAAAGCATCTACTGCCTTAAAGTGCTGAAGGAACAGGCTTAGATATCATTGTTAGAAAAGGTCAGTGAAAGAAACATGAGAAAAGGGTATGGGGAGCCCAGAGAATTGGATAGAAAGTGAAAGGACAGGTCCTTGACTCCCATCAGTAGATGGCTGATGTGAAAACACAGCAGTCAGAGATCCCTATAGGATGTAATATCCAGCTGGTGGAGGGAGGCAGGAAAATGAGAGCAGAATATGTCCCTTGGAGTACTTTAAAATAAACAATAAGGGATCTTAATCACTAACACATGAGACACTCCAGATGCTGAGTTTTGTCTGCTGTATTTAATGCAGAATAAAGTATTGCTGGCTATTTTCCCTTCCTGCAAGTGTAAAATATTGGGCCCCTGTGCAGCATTTGCTCTGAGGGAATCTGCTACTACAATTTAGTGCAGAGATGCACAAACAGTAGTCCCACAAGCTTGGCTGCAGCTCAGATCTGTGCAGCAGAATGCAGCTGTAAGAGAAGAAAAAAAAGGGAGTAGGAAAACTCCTTGTTTAGAGTAAAAAAGGAGTTTCCACTCATCTTTTGCTGATGTATATGCAAAGTTGAAAACTTGCCCAAGAGTCTATGCAGAGTAAAATGCTTGTTAAATTGCTGTAAGGATATGACTTGGGTGGGAATTAAATTAACTGGAAACCCTAGAGATCTGGATACAAATCATTGCTCGGTGATTTTTAGGAAGATGTCAGAGAGTCTGGAGGGATGGGAAAGTGCATGGTCTGCTCCTCTAGAGAACAGCACTGCTGGGACCCAGACATACCCACACACACCCACACACCGTGAGGCTCCAACAAAGAGTCTGGTTTATTTCTTTCCTTCACACTTGGGCACTGAAGACAAAGTGACAGTTCAGGGCAGAAGGTTTAGTAAAGATGGAAACTGCTGATGGCAGTCCCCAGTACATGAACTCAGGAGTGAACTCAACTCTAGTCCCTTGTTTGCTGTGTTTTACCTTTGGTGTACTGGGAGGGTGCAAAAAGTAACCTGGGTTTATTTCAGCAGTGAAGATGCTGAGGGATGTCTGGGATGTGACTCTTGCTGTCTGGAAGGAAGACTCTAAATAGCAACTGCAGCATCCAGCCACTCATTTGAGCTTTGTCCTGGCCAAAAACATGCCCTCAGAACGCTGACCTACAGTAAAAGCTCCTGATTCCTTCTGGAAACCTTTAAAATTTATAATTTTAACAACATAAAAGCATTAGAAAACCTGCCATGGCATAGCACAAGCACAGACCATAAACCAGCATAAAAAAATTAAACTTAAGTGTGCCACACAGAGCAAATAAGAGAGACTTGAGTGTGACCCACCGATGATTCCCTGTCAGTGAGGCAAAGGGGGCAAAGGATATGTACAGAGTCTAAAGCAGCAACTGATTCCCTCACACTTCAGAGAAAAACAAAGAAATCCCCAGGGATCTTCATCATCAGTGTGATCAAAATGTCTTTGATTGCCTCAAACACCACGATCCAGATGATCTCTGCCCAAAACAAGTCATATCAGCCAGGCAACACAGAGATGTCTGATCCATGCTCTGTCTCTAAACAACAGTCTGTCTGTCCCTCCCCCAAGCACAGACAATTCCAGTGTTGAAGAAAAAAAATGAGCCAAATTAACTAACTAAACAGAGAGCAAATTATTCAGCCTGGAATTTAAAAAAAAACCAAACCAAAACAACAACAACTTTCCTGTTGTTGTGTGTATGCAGTATTGTATTTTTACAAGTTAGAATTTACATACTTAAGCCAGAGTAAAACTGAACATAATTCAGTGTTCTCACTCTGTTCCCCCTTTCTTTTACAACCCCTCCTCCTGCCCCCAGTTCACAGTGGAGCCTGTTGTCTGTTACTGTCAAGTAAATTTGAGCACTCACAATTTGTCAGATCATTATTTTACTCTCCAAAATACAGCAACTTTTTGCTTGTGTTCCCAGTCAGATCTGCAGACTTCAGGAGCTAAACCAACTGCTCTCCACACTCAGCACTGATAGCCCAGCTCGGGAAGAGATGCACTGACTCTCTTTGGTACCTGATGCAGAAATGCTGATCATGGCCCTGGCTCACAGAGACCAACAGGCACTTGAGTGCTGCTCTGGTCAGCAGGGCTTGGTCTCCCAAATACTGCTGTGAATTTAAGTGTAAGATCGGTCTCACTGAGCACAAGATCAGTTAAAGCAGTTCTGTCCTGCTGCAGACAGTGGGGTCCTGCTGGCAGAGCGGAGCAGCAAAGTTGGCCCTGCAAAATTTAGTCCCAGCTGATCATGCACAGAAAGTAAACATTCACCTCAGGAGATTCTGCAGGACGTAAAATGAAAGAGGGAGTGAGGTCATGGAACAGGACAAGCCAGCAGTGTGGAGCCAGCTCAGCAGGCAGTGCCAGCCTTTCTTCCACAGCACTGCTTGACAGGCTCTCAGGTGAGGGTCTGCTGGGCAAGGAGCTGTGTGGACCAGGGATAGGCCCTATCCTGTGAAGGTCCTACAGCCTAAAATTTACCCCTCCTCAACAAAATCAGTATATTTCATTTCAGTCATCATTGGAAACAGATGGTGATACCATTTTTAGTGTCTCTTTCCAAAGCAGATGCACAAATATAGTTAGTGGCTAGCAATGATCTAACAGTATGATTCCAGCCTGTGGTCTGCAGATATTTAGGAGTCAATGAATTATTTTGAAAGAGATGACTAGAAAGGCCTATACATCTGCTGTCTAAGGAAGTCTGCAGCTCCCCTGGAAACATTTCAATGTTCCAGAAGGCATATGAAAATGAAGTGGGTTTGGTCCTGACACCACCTAAAACTAGTCATAGCACAGTATCAGTGTTCATGCTGAAAGATCTTTCTTGCTATAAACATGAGCAACTCAGAGCTAAATTAGAAGGATGAATTATAGATGGGAAATAGGAATTTGAAATGGATAGTCTTTTCTGGTTACACACACTGGAGAATGAAAATTTCCTGTGTTTTAATTATAAATCAAACTTAGATGTGGTCAAATAGAATATTATGTTAATGACATGAATAATGAACCCTATTCCCAAGACTTACTCATATTTCTTAGAAAAATGGCTACTTACCAACTGGTGTTTTTTGTCTACTGGGAAACCCATAAAATGAAAACAAAAGACTCTCCACAGTTTTCAGGAACAATTACAGACACTATTGTCTCTTGTGGTCTTGAACTAACCCTCAGTAGGGGATATCTCAGAGACCTACCATTAATTATCCACGTCTTAGTTTTGGAAATGCAATTCCTAAGCGTAATCTCCTCAAAAGAAAAGGACAAATCGAGATTGTTGCAATCCATTTTTAGACTCTTTCTCTGATTTTAGGGTTTGTATGGATTTCTGACCTTCAGCATAGATTCAAAGGCAGTAGAAGTAGTCTGGGCTTAGCTTGGTGTGAGTGAAACCAGAATGTTGTAAAAAGTTTTTTGGTTTTTTTTAAATATCTGGATGTAGAATAGAGAAAATGGAAATTTGTAAGACATTTCATTAAAGTATCATGTATTATGTTCCACCTGCAGAATGGAAATGTACTGTGCAGCAGAATAAGATGCCCAAGTCTACACTGTCCTTCCCCTGTGCACGTACCACAGCTGTGCTGCCCACGGTGCCCAGGTAAATCTCTTAATGACAAACAAACAGTCCTTTCTGAAACAGTTATTTAATATGCTGAATAACAGCAAAATTAAATGTATGTGCTGGAAAACTTCTGTGAAGTAAACATCCTACTGTATCCATTTAGGTCATGAGAGGCTTGTCCTATGTAAGTTATGGCATTTCCCATGGTGGTTTCTTTATAGGAATCAGAAGTATAGATTTGGGAAGGGATCAGGTAAGCTAACAAGGCCAGTCCCCTACAATCCAGGCAAAGGACAGCAGAAGTTTCATTGACTGTCCACTCCCCACTCCTTATCTCTAAACTCCATCACAATAAAACACCCTCCCATAAGCTTCCTGAGTTTCTGCTTTTGGTGCTTTTCGTAAGAGCAGGCTGAAATGCTTATTGCAATGGTTCTCTGTTAAGAAGCGATTGAAAATAGCTGTGGCAAATGTGCATTTTTAATAGTATCACTGTACAACCAGCCTGGTAACATTTGCCTTTTACATCTCAAGTCCAGGCACAGCTTCATAATTAGTAGAGACTGTTGTAAATCATAGAAGCAGTGCTGTAGAAGTTTATGACTATATAAATCCAATTGGATATGTATAGTAAATTCTTCCAGACTGTACATTTATTATATGCTCATTATTAAGAGTCACTGTATGAAAGAGGCTAAGCAGGATCTTTCACGAGGCTGTTACAGCGTTCCCGACGTGGCCTAATGGCTGCTGGATTTGACTGGAGCTTTTCCCCTGAATGTCTGTCTTAGTGGCACCCCTTATAAAAGAGTATTCATGCAGCATCATAGAAAGGGGTTTTCTTTGACTTTCTCCAGAGAGTTTCATTGTCTGAGGAAAAGAGCTGTTCCCTGACCAAACCCTGGGAGCTGAATGCAGTAGGCAATGGCAGAGGGACAGGAGAGCACAAGAAGGTTGCTGTTCAGCTGGGATGGGAGTGTGTTCACTGCACTTACTGGGTAATAAAGGGCATCCACCCATCAGCTGGGGTAGGATCGATCTGCCCTGACAATTAAATACACTCTCTATCAGATATGCATGTCAATATTTGATCTAGGTATCTAGAATCCCTTTTTAATCAGTGACAAGGAAGAACCATTTCAAGCATGTAACTCGTCTGATGCCATGATGCCACTGTTGTGTTCTAGGATGAGATTGAGCCTATTCAACTCTAGATCCAACACTTTGGCATTTAGTTGATGACAGAGTTCTATCTATGGTGCTCTAATGCACAGAAAGTTTGTAAGGCAGTATGTTTTCTCTGGCCAACTAGTACTGTTGGTTAAAATGGTAAAATGCTGGGAACACAAACCCCTCTTGTGTTTCAGATCAAAAGAAGGACTGGTATGCCCAAAAATTGGCCTGTTTTTCCAGGTAATCCAAGCATTAATTGGCAAGGGAATCGTCTAGATACCCTTTATAGCTGTTGAAAACATGCTGTCCCAGAGGGTGACATCCTATTACCAGAATGAGAAGACTTTCCCTGGAGATGTCTGTCGCTCTCCAGTGATTATTGAGGGAGCACAGGAAAATAGTGTATGCTAGATGCTTGCTTTTTTGACAGATTAAGTTAAATCACAGAATTCCCACTCAGAATGTAATTGGCATCTGCAGTCAGGAACTTTCTCTTTTCATTTTTTAGTATCTTTGTACAGTATTTACTATAGAAACATAATTCTTCTAGATTGAATGTTTCTGCTTCAAGTGCTCTTTGGTAGTGAACTATTTGGCTTTTTTTCCTGTTCATAAGGTTGTAAATGCCATGATACATACCAAGATTTTAAAACATTCTACAATGGCCTAATAAGGAAGAGTAAGGACCCCTGTAAACTCTCAAATGCATCTTATCAAATTAAGTTCTTGCTAATAATAGTCTTCAGATGGAATTTTGTACTTTGAGTTTGAACTGATAAATACAGAAAATTATCAGAATGAGCCAGTCTGGAATTGTGATCCATTATCTTCTCTTAGCTGCCCCTACAGTCCATCAGCTACATATGATGGGCCATTACATTGTTAACTGGGCACCATCTCATTAAAAATGAGAGTCCCACTAAGGTCTATTTTTACCCTAAATGAATCTGTAACTCAGACAGATCTGCTCCAAAGTTAGTCAAAAGAGAAGCAGGAATCTCCTGAGATGTCAGGGGTTATTTGCATTCTGCTTTCTGCAGTGATTATGTATATCATATTTGGTGCTCCATCTTCAGTGGGAATGTTCATGCCTGATCTGAAGAGGAATCTCCAGCATTCTTGCACATCTTGTGCCAGTTTTCCATTCCTGTGTGTCTGGTATACAATGTCTTTTGTGCAACATGCCATGATATGCAGACAGTTCACTTCTCTGGTTTCCCTGGGTATTTTCTGATGGTATGAGTGGGAGCTCTGGCCATTAACCATCCACTGGAATCACCCTCAGAAGTGCTTGTTCTGTTCTGTCATGTGGTGTTTCCCTCCTCTCTCAGGCTGCACTACAGAAGTGAGCAGTGCTGGTCAGAGTGACCTGGGGCTCTTCTCCTGCCCCTCTGCAGGCCCTGCAGACTGTAACTGCCCAAATCACTGCCTCCTGATTTCATGAAGCAGAGGTAATGCCAGCAGGCAGCAACTTTCATTGGACACTGAACTTCTGAGCTACCTAAGTGGAGGAGCTGTTGAAGGGATTCCTTTGAGAAAAGCTGGCACTGCTCTACCCCTGGAATTAATGCCTCCTGCATCCATAGTGACACTGGACTTGCTGACACAAAGAGATGCAGTGTTTGTATCCTGTCTCCCTGGCACCAGACACCATGAATCTTAAGTAGCTGTCAGACATGCTATGAAGCATCTTCTACTTTCCCCAGTGGTTCAATCCTATCAGCTTCTACCACAGATTCATCACAAACTTTTCCTTTTTTTTTTTTTTAAACCTATTCTTTCTAGAATTGGCAAAATGCAGACCTTGTGTCTTGTATAGATCTAGATATTCCTTCCTTTTGCAACTCTGAAAAGCATTTTACCATCTGAATTGTATTCTTATCATCACACGTGTAACCAAAAATACTATGTTCACATTCACTGAGACTCTTTTCACACAATAGTGAGACCCAAAAGGACATCACATGGGAATTCTTCTTCTGAGCTTGCACTCCACCCTTCCATCTTTAGGATGCTCCAGGCATTATCAGAGGAGAGGTGATTTGTAGTCAGGCAGAGAATTCACCACCATTCTTAGATCTGGATCAGCTCTTGATCTAGAGTGGACTTCAGACCACCTGCCTCTTGTCATGAAAATAAACTTCATGTACGAATTCTTCAAGCATTCATCTGCAGCTGTCTTTTATAGCACTACTACAGACAGTGCCTTTAAAACTGGAACATTTATTGCAGATTGTATAATTTCTACATACAACAATTGCAAATGAAAGCATTTAGAGTCTGATCAAAGATTAAAATTTTTGAGTACACTCTGGAATACGTAAATCTAAGATGGGAAAAGGTTACATCAAAACCAAAAATTCACAACTGCAGGATTTAGAAAGGGTTTCTATATTCCACTTGCTGGTTTGATTTCTCAGCAGATAAGGCTACATGCTGATGTATGAACCACTCCATCTGGCTCCAGTGTTTTTTAAGCCTGCTGCCCCGACTAAACACACTGGCTTCCAAGAATGTTCATTATTAGTAACACATTTAAGCGTAAGCTTCTTTGGGACTACGAATTTTCTTTATTAAATTCAAAGCATTTTTCTGATGTACTTTTGTTGTTTAGATATAGAAATAACAGCACAATGCCAGGTGGTACTTGTATGCATAGCTGGACTAAAGATAACCAGGTGAGGTACCTGACAATAGTGGTCTGAGAATATCACCTAAAAAGAAGTGAGCTCCCAGGCTCTCAGTGATTATCTTCTTACCCTTCAATTCACTAACGTTTTTGGGGATGGAGGAAGGCACGTGGTGCCCAACTCTTCCATTCTTTATGCAGGTCTTGTTGCTACCACTTATCCTTCTCACATCACCAAGTGAGAGAGTCCCAGCAATGGGTAGTTGTCAGATAGTGTAAATAAATTGTTTATTTGGAAGTAAATATGATTTAGAAATATGATACCGGCATTTTCCAGGGAGATGCCGAATTTTTTCCTATTGAAATGTGCTCAGATAATTCAGTTTGTTTCATGATTTGCCTTTGTCACGAGCTTCATATGGAATGTTTGCTATAACAGCCAGATTGAGGTTATCACTTGTTTCCATTCTGCTTTTTTGACTATAAAAATTCAAAAATCTATCTGTACATCAGCATCCAAAATACATATCTTCCCACATGGATGACAGAACTTCCATTCTTTGGACTGACATGATAGGATAGGATAAGCTGCTCAGAAGTTTTCCAAGATTAACTTCCAAGACCTTCAAAGAGGTTTCAGAGAGGATTCAAAATGCACCAAAGCTCCCCTCAATTTGTTGCCTTGGCGGGAGAGTGATTGGTGGATTCACATAACAGTTCAACCTGAGAGCAGGAATTAAAGTAGAGCAACCTAGAAAGTGTTTTATGAGTCCTTCAGAGTTGCTGGGCAATTGCTGGGCAATTTTTTATGCCACTATAAAAGAAAACACAGGAAATTAAGCTGCAGAAAATATATTAAAATAATGTGAAGAGCTTGACTTTAGCCCTAGAAAGCTAAAAAACAACCAACAGCTTTTCGAATGTTTTAACTGAAACTACATCTTTGCCTTGAATCCGTATGAAAGTTCATACTGCCTAGATAAGGTGCTACTAGTTCCTTCAAGCAATGAATTTCATACACTTTCTACAGTCTGACCATATTAAAGACTAGCTGTGGTGATTAACTCTGAATTACCCTGGAGTTTTTAGAGCTTAACCTGGTCCTTGAAGTTATTTTAATGCAAAGCATTTTGTGGCTTAATATCGTTGACACCTGCACCTCCAAGAGGCACATATGGATTTTGTTTAGAGCTTGTGTTTGCAGTTTTTGGATAGTGCACAACTTTTCCATCCA